AATATTGTGTGCATTACTCAATATCTGTTGTGATTTGACACTATTGAATTCATAACAATACCAGTGATTTGTGTCATTTACAATACCAGTCAGATTTGTGTCATTTGTGTTCCTCTGTGTCTGCCGGCTCTATGCATTTACACATTTGCTATTTATCAACTGTGGGAGATGAAAGAATATGCACAGTTAGTCTTTCAATCATGCTAAACCTGTCATATACTAGTCTTGGAAAATTATAGGAAAAGTGAGTTGAAGAACAAAAGTGAATTGAAGAACAAAAGTGAGTTGAAGAACAAAAGTGAGTTGAAGAACAAAAGTGAGTTGAAGAACAAAAGTGAGTTGAAGAACAAAAGTGAGTTGAAGAACAAAAGTGAGTTGAAGAACAANAAACATTTGAAGCATGCCGAGTGTACTCGTCTATTATTAGCTGTACTCTGAAGTCCTCTTCTTTCTTTGTAGATGATGTAGATATAGAATAAATGACATTTTCTGTGATATTTACTTGTTTTTTTCTGCATTGATATGATATTACCTTATTAATTCATTACCGTACTACATTGATGTGATTGGTATTACCAATCTGATTTTCAGAGGACAAAAGTGAATCAAAGAATAAAAGTGAATTAAATAGCGAAAGTGAGTCAAAAATGTGAGTGCGTCAGAGAACAAAAGTGTGTCACTAAAGAACGAAAGTGTATCAGAGGATAAAAGTGAATCAAAGAACGAAAGTGAGTCAAATAATGAAAGACAGTCAGGCACAAAGTGAGTCAGAGAATGAAAGTGGGTCAGAGAAGGAAAATTCTAGTGAGTCAAAGTACGCTAGTGAATCAATGAACGAAAGCAAGTCGAATAATATGCATTTAAAAATTGTTTTTTAAAGACAACACTTCTGAACAATCCAGTATCTTGGATGTTACACATGTACAATGAATTTCTAATTACATTTTCAAATATTGAAAAAAAAATTATTCTTCAAATTTTTTTAAGATATCAAAATTTTGTAAATTTTGAAAATTATTTATTCTGTCAATTAATTCATGCATTGTCTCTGACTTTATGCAATTGTGCAAAATTTAAGATCAATTGGACAGGTCAAATTGTGTCATGTACCGTATGGATTATAATATTTGTAGGAGACAAAATTATTTTTTTTTAATTTCTTTAATATTGACAAAAAAATTCTTTTAATTAATAAAATTATTTATTCTGTCAATTGATTCATGCATTGTCTCCAACTTTACGCAAGTGTGCCGAATTGCAAATCGATTGGACAGGTAGAAGTGAGTTAAATATCGATTATAAGATTTGTAGCAGACAGACAGACAGACAAACAAGAAGTGAAGTTAAAGAGAAGTATTGTAAAAAGGAATGTGAGTCTAAGGACAAAAGTGTGTCAAGGAATGAAAGTGAGTCAGGGAACAAAAGTTGCTATTACATGTTGCTTGCTTAATAATCTTAGACCTTTGGGCAGAGGTGTTTCAGCAGCATTAGGCACGTTACTCACTAGAAGGGCTAAAAATTTACTCATGTTATGACACGTGTTTTGCAAAGCCAACTCTTCAATTGTTGCATTTCCTTGTTGTTTTATTAGCTGATGCCTCCTGGTGACTGCTGGCCACTCACCATCAATTTTGGCATCCTCGGCATCTGGTTAATGATGGATATTGAAAAGAATGGAAAGAAAAAGAGGAAGGGGAGAGAAATGATATATTCTTAAATAAATATATGTACCATACCGTCAAACGGGGTAATGACGGATGGTTTTGAGTGTTTTTTGTTAATAACTTCTTACCATGAAACATTTCATAAACAAGTTTGGGCTCATTTTAAAGCTCTTTGCAAAGGCTATCAAATGGCATCTGCAAAAAATACCATGTGCTATTTGTGAGGTGCCAGACTCAAAATAAAAGCCTCCCAAATTACCCCTGCGAATGGCATAATCTGGGACACTTGAAATAAAGCTTAATATTAAAACATTTGAAGCATGCCGAGTGTACTCGTCTATTATTAGCTGTACTCTGAAGTCCTCTTCTTTCTTTGTAGATGATGTAGATATAGAATAAATGACATTTTCTGTGATATTTACTTGTTTTTTTCTGCATTGATATGATATTACCTTATTAATTCATTACCGTACTACATTGATGTGATTTGTATTACCGTATCCTACCGTATTGATGTGATTGGTATTACTGTATCCTACTTTATTGATGTGATTGGTATTACTGTATTACATGCTGTTGAGCATTTACAATGACCATATCCACTTCAAGCTTCATATCGGCAGCCATGTAGCATTTCTTCTGTATCTGTTAGCTTACAGGATGGCTTGTAATTTCACACCATTTTAATTGGGTTAAGCGAGTTCACTATAACAAAAAAAGATCGTTAAAAACATACCTGAAACAGAAAGGAATGTTTTAGTAACAACCATCATATTTTTTGGATAAATAAATCATTGTTTAAGTTGATTACTCATCATTCTATGATGCCAGTGCACAATTCTATGTATGACATGCTATGCACAATTTTGTGATGACCAATGATGCATTAATTTTTTGTCGACAAATTTTTTTGCTGACGTAAATGTTATAAAAATTATATGTTGTTAATAAATTTCTTGTCAACTGGAGCCTTTGCTAACTGAGGTTCTACTGTAAATGCATTTTTAAGGGTGTTAACCCTGAAAACTCAGGTGTTGCTAGGAGAGGTTCTACTGTAAATGCCGTTAAGGAACACCCCGGGTGGTGTCCCTTATTGGACACCACCTGGGAACACCCTGCGGAAATGGCTGCCATTTTTAGTGAGATATGCAAATTCTGTCAATCACATTTTCAAAGCAACACCTTTGTGCAATTTTTGTGTGAGAAAATTTTTTAATACGGCAAATATTTCTTCTGCCACAGATATTAGCAGAGGTACTTTTCAAAAATCTCTCTTTTCACACTTTTTCAGAGTTTTTTTAGAGATAGTAGATGTATGATTCATTAACTAACTTTATGCTACATAGATATTAAAAATGTAGAACTTTACATACGCCACTATTTTTAGTTCTGCAATATTTGGATTAGTTTAGCTGCTACAACACTTCTACGAAATGTAGAACGACTGTCCTGATTTACTCCGCCCATCCCTTCTTACCCCATTTGACGGTATTGATAAAAAGAAGGGCTGTGTATTGCAAGTGCATAAAATTTAAGGCATACTGGTACAGTTCTTTTATTGACAGTTCTTTTATTGATATAACTCACCTAAAAATTGGTATTTTAATTGAAAACACCATTGTCTAGCTTATTTATTTCTGTATTTTCTGGACCTGAAGATGAAAAGGAACCAGGAAAGGCAGGCACAAATGGAATTGGAGTGTATCTGTTGGCATGAACTTGTTTGTTCTGATTCTCATCTCTGGCTTGAAATCTGAAATTGAAATTGATTATTGGTAATGAGATAGAAACATGCCAATTGTTAAATTAAGAGTCTAATAGTCCATGAAGTGAATTTAAATTTTTTTTTTAATTTTTAAAATCATTTATTTTGACATTTGATTAATGCATTGTCTCCAACTTTACACAAGTGTGCAAAATTTCAGATCGATAGGATAAGTAGAAGTACATTAAATTTTGATTACAAGATTTGTAGCAGACAAACAAACATACAAACAAACAACAAGAAGTGAAGTTAAAGAGAAGTGTTGTAAACAACTAGCTCCTCCTCTGAAAAATCTAAATCCTATCCAACCTAATTGGGTTGATGAACAAATGAACTCATTGTTCCCTTTGTTCTTCTACTGACCTAGTCAGGTCGGGTAAAACAGGACTGTTGACTTTAGGAGGTGAGAAATGACCAACCCAGATATTCAAAATACGCTGAACAAAATTCAAGGCCCTTGTGGGATTTGTTAGAACACTTGTTTCCAGTAATTTCAGTGTTTCTTGGCTACCCTGTATTTCAAATAATGAATTGTAAAATTTTAAAAAACTACTTAAAGAATGTTAAGAAAATAATGAACTTTATTGTGGAACTATGCTCCGTGTAGTCCCATGATTATTTCTTCCTAATTTGTTGACATGGCCAGGTAACTGGAAGCAACATCAATGACATGCTAGGCACTCCTAGCTATTGTAATTATCTTCTGGCATGCATGTTGAAATGGGGAAAAAATGACCAGAATTGCAGCAAGACAAGACCACTTGATCAACACTTTTCAACACATTACTTTTAATAAAATTTTACTCATGCATAAATTAAAGCAGCAATTGAACAATAAAAGTTAAAAACTCTAGCGCTCAATAAAGTATGAAATTAAATCATAAACAAAAATATTTCTCATCAGTGACTTCAAATTGAATTGTTTGAATGGATTAAATTATCCTAGAAATGGTTGAACTACAGTGCCATAGGCTATGACACTGTCACCACACCAACTATATTCACCAACCACAGACGGGTAGTATTAAGTGCCTTGTATGAGCCTGGATTGTTTGGTGTAAAGCCTGAATAATGAATTTATTAATTAATAGTCTGCAAAAAGCAAAGAGAAATACAGAGCAATGACAACATTTAAATAAGTGATATTTAACATAGATATCACCATCGTTGTGTACACAATAAAACAAACACTATTCAATGATTCTCTTAACTTGAAAATGAATGTTGCTACATTCAAAATGTATTTAATATATTATTATTATTTGCTAAATCTGCCTTTTGATCTACCATTGTCATTTAAAGAATTTTTCAACTCCTTGAAAATTTTAATGAATTCTCTGGTCATAAATTATATGCATATAAACAAGAAAATTCTGCTATCCTATAATAACAATGAAGCATGTCCATATTGTTGTGAACATTCTTAGTCTAAGTAATGTCATTATCAACTGACTACAAATATTCAAGCTTTAATTTTGTCATCAATGAATATCAGTGATCTATATCAGTGCAAGTATCATTACAAATAAATTTTATTTTTCTAACATATGTCTTTCTTTGATTTTTTTCAGACACTGACTGGCAAGGAGGTGAGTGTACTGCTGCAGATAACAATACTGGCCAGGGTTGGTTATTTTTTGATTTTTTAGAAAAAATCAAAAAAATCATGATTTTTCTATAAATAAAATCAAATGATTTAATCACACAATTTAATCATTTTGATTTAATCAATGCCAACCCTGATACTGGCTGACTGCAAACATCCCAGACAGTTTTTATTGCAATTTATATTGAATCTTATACCTTAATTCCGCTAAAACACTTTATTATATATATATATTTTTTTTGCATGTAGATGTTCATAATCTTCTGTTCTATGAGGCAGTTTCTGGTTGAGATAATAAACTTTAGATAATAGGTAACTTATGCAATCAGAACCTTGTTTCTAAACCTAATGTAATTTTACTTTGGGCACAACTGATTAGAACTAAAATTTAGTAACAAGGTTATGACATTGCAATAGCATACAATGTATAAAATATACACAATACCTGGGTCCAATATTACTTAATTAAAATACAATATGTATTCATCACTAACTGGGACTCAATGCTTGGTAAACATTTCTGTCCATCACATTCTAGGATTTAAAATTGAAGCCTTTTTCTCTTGGTATTTATTCATTTTATTAATTTTATTGGAGAAAAGATGTATGCAACCATCAGTGACACTCCTTGTACTTGTCCTGTTAGGACATGAATTTAAGTATAGATAATTTCATGACATGTATATTTTCTACTTAATGAAGATTCAATATGATGATTTATTGAATCTATTTTTAAGCAATGATGTACGTATTGGTAAAAGTTAACTATAATAATAATAATTTCTAATGGTTGATAATGTTGCAGATAGAAATAGACATTGAGCCTACAGATAAGGTGGAGCGGATCAAGGAGAGGGTGGAAGAGAAGGAAGGCATCCCACCACCACAACAGCGGCTAATCTTTTCTGGCAAACAAATGTGAGTATCAACACACGTTGGCATCATGGCTTTCTACTCTAAAGCTTAACTTCAGTTCAAGAAGAATTTGAGATCTGCATCATTCTTTAAGAATACCTATTCTATTGAATGTTGGGTTATCAGCAATATCCATCAGTATTGTGAATGAAATTTGACTATTATAATATTATGAAATTAGTGTGTTGGAAAGTTTGATCAGAAAATCTGAAAATTGATTTAACTAAACAGCCATAATCGCATAAAGGTTGACAGGTCAATCAAGGTTTGATGTAAAATTATGTCTTAATTTTTTATATATTGTAAAACAGGGTAACTTGGACCATTCTGACATTTCTGAAAAGAAAACCCTTTACTCTAAAAGTTCTTGCCTTGGAAAAATTGTGTGATGGCTCTTGAAGTACCATGAGAAGACGTATAAATGCAGTAAAGAGATATATTTTATACATATACTACGTGATTATTGATATCATAAAAAAGTACTAAGCGCTAAAAGTGGTCGCAATCACCCCAATTTATGGCATTGCAATGACAAGTTGAATACACTGAATATCTTTAATAGATATCATATATTTTTTTAAAGTTTGATCAGAAAATCTGAAAATTGATTTAACTAAACAGCCATAATCGCATAAAGGTTGACAGGTCAATCAAGGTTTGATGTAAAATTATGTCCTTATTTTTTATATATTGTATAAGAGGGTAACTTGGACCGTTCTGACAAAAGAAAAGCCTTTACTCAAAAAGTTCTTGCCTTGGAAAAATTGTGTGATGGCTCTTGAAGTACCATGAGAAGACGTATAAATGCAGTAAAGAGATATATTTTATACATATACTACGTGATTATTGATATCATAAAAAAGTACTAAGCGCTAAAAGTGGTCGCAATCACCCCAATTTATGGCATTGCAATGACAAGTTGAATACACTGAATATCTTTAATAGATATCATATATTTTTTTATTTTTGATAATTAAGTAATTCAGCTTGTTTTGAGTTTTTAACTTGGAATGGATTGGCTGAGTGTATGAAAGTGAAAAATTTAGTTTCTGAGAGATGGTTTGTATGCGCAGGAACGATGAGAAGACGGCAGCGGACTATAAAGTGCAAGGCGGGTCTGTGCTGCATCTCGTGCTGGCGCTGCGTGGCGGCGACAGATAGACAACAATACTCTTAATTAGATATCTCTTTAGTCTTATTCATACCTTCTCTTCACCAATCTTATAATGGACATCTCTCATAACACTATATAATGGGCGTCTATAATGAACATTGTTAGGGTTATTCCTATTGATACCTTCTCTTCACCAATCTTATAATGGACATTGTTAGGGTTATTCCTATTGATACCTTCTCTTCACCAATCTTATAATGGACACCTATAATAAACATTGTTAGGGTTGTTCCTATTGATACCTTCTATTCACCAATCTTATAATGGACATCTATGGGCATCTATAATTCATATTGAAATAATTTGTTCACATAAAATCATATAATGGAGACCTATAATGAACATTGTTAGGGTTAATCGTATTAATACTTTCTGTTTACATAAGACTACCTGGTACTACCGTATATAATGGAAATCTATAGTGAACATCTGTTAGGGATATTCTTATTGATATCTCTTGAACATGCCCTCTACATCTACATGCCCTAATTGCCACTGATGCACAGACAAGTTATAGGTTGGTTCTCATATTCAGTGATGTCCTCGTGTAATGCTATTCAATTTACATCAATTTAACTCTGTTACCATGCAGTAAATTCTTCCGTCACATCAATGATTATTTTTTAATCCTGTGATAGACTGCTATAGACTCCCAGTCTTCCTGTCTGCAATTTTGAGTCTTACAATGACCTGGGGCCTTACTTTCAAATCTCGCTAAGTGAACGTAAGTACTTACGCTCTATTTTCTTGTCTATGATTGGTGGATTTTGCTTGAAAGGCCGTCAATGATTGGCTGATGAACTTACGATCTTTTGACTTTTTTTTTTTTTAAATAAAGGCCCTGGCAGTTATTTTCCTAGAGTGCGATTGGCTCTGTTAAAACCAAACTTTTCAATCAATTTGATAAGTCGACACTATTTACACGTGTTAAACTCTTTCCCCGAGACACCAGGGGTTTCTTGAGTCACACTGATATTGACTGACTATAATTTACCGTCGTATAGTGCGTTCTGATCATGAGTAAGCATGGTTTTGAGGAGTATTTGTCAGCAGCTTTGACTTCAAATAGTTCTCATAAATCTTTCTTAACCTTGTCTTCAGGAGCTTATATATGTTACGTTATTCATTTTTTAGTCTTACTTAGAATTTGACGTGCCAATCTGGTGTAAATTAATATGACTGACCATGAATTCTCTGCAGGTTGATGAACTTAACTCTTTGCATCCAATCACTTTCCGAAACAATAATCACGTCGTTTCAGCCTCTTCGTAACTACACTGTTTGCTGCATATATTTCATGCAACACTGTTTGCATGAACGGTCTATGTATTCTATGTATTCACTTTGTTCTAGGAATTAGTCAAAAAATTTGCCTCGAGCAGATTTTTTAACAGAGAGGATCCATTTAACAGCTTATCAAAAGAGGATACAGATGAACACTGAGGGAATACTCTGACCAAAATACTATCCTTAATAAATCCAATTTCATTCAAAGTTACTAATGCTTACTCCATCCATATTATTCATTTATTTTCTTACTATACACTAGTGCAATAAATTTTGAAGCATTTTCAGGGCTGGAAGTGTCAAGAAATTGGTTGCGTTCCTGCCGAAATGTCATTGTCAGAGATATGCGCTTGTGCAGCGAGATTAATTTAATTTAGATTAACTACTTTGGTTCATAGTTCAAGATTTTTTTCACAATCGTTTCAATTAAGTTGATCAAATGAGGCCATCCTAACTGACCTGTGATGAGAACCAGAACTCAGGACTCGTTGAGTGTGGCCGCAGGACGCGGGGGCGACGCTCCCGCGAGGGGACCTTGTGCTCCCCCGGCCTGCCCAGTTACTTAGCACGCTTAAATAACGTCACTTATATTCATTATGTACACTACTTCCTGCTTAGTTACTTAGCACGCTTAAATAACGTCACTTATATTCATTATGTACACCACTTCCTGCTTAATTGGCGTTTCTTTTTCATTCATGGCATGCCATGGCTTCTATTTTGATATAAAATGATTTGGATATTTATTGCTACGGAGTTGCTGTATTACTTCATATCTATAGTCACATAATCACTATTTAAATATACTACATAATAAAAAGCAATATATAAAGATACTATATACATCATCACTATTAAATGTACTAAATACTATAATATATCTTATAATAATGCGTCAACTTGTTCTTGTTCACTTCTATCTGCGTCTTGTTTCTCTAGTACGCCTACGTTTGCACTCTCTCTTTAACGACACAGACTCATACAAGTTATAAAATTGCTTGTTATGTATAATATATTTTTACATCATTAATTCTACTCAAGAATAAAGTGAGTGAACCAATTAGTTGTTCCTCTCGCCTCCTGATATTCAGTGACGCCAGTGAACCAATTAGTTGTTCCTCACGCCTCCTGATATTCAGTGACGGGTGAACCAATTAGTTGTTCCTCACGCCTCCTGAAAGTCAACCGCGTCCGAAAATCGATGCACTTTTTTGACTCACTTGCCCCATTTGTGGGTCATACTGACCCATTAAATTTCAAGCATGACTCACTTGTGGCGTTAAATCGCTCTGACGCTCAGATGCTAACTACGTATCCATGCTACGGGTGGCGTCATAAGGGATTTGACGTCACAAGTGAGTCATGCCTGGAATTGAATGGGTCAGTATGACCCACAAATGGGGCAAGTGAGTCAAAAAAGTGCATCGATTTTCGGACGCGGTTGACTCATCAAAGTGGGTCATCCAGACCCACCCATTTCTCTCAGTGTACAGTTCAGAGTACCAAGATTGGCGCAGTGAGTTGCGCGTTCGAAACCGCAACAAGCTGTAAATGTTCTGCGATGTTAAGAATCGGCGACAGGCCTACGGCCTAATAAACGCTGAAACCACTATATACATCATCACTATTTAATGTACGAAATACTATAATCTATATTTTACTAATGCGTCAACTTGTTCACTTCTATCTCCGTTTTGTTTCTCTAGTACGCCTCGAGTTCACACTCTCGTTGTAACGGCACAGATCAATTTATATAATTACTTGTTAAATGTTTTTAAATCATTAATTCTAATCGATATTAAAGTGACTTGACCAATTAGTTGTTCCTCTCGCCTCCTGATATTCAGTGACGGGTGAACCAATTACTCCCCCGCCATATTATTAACCCCCGGCGTAGGTCATCACGATGTTGGGTGACAAGGCGTTCTCGCTCATCCAGGAGCTGGATCGCTCCCAGCACGGCACGCTTCCACCCTTCAATGTGAGTGGCTTACTTATTTAAACCATCCACCGCCCGACATGAGTAACCGGAGCAATATTGTCACGCGCCTACTTCCCAAAAAGGATACGTTCTAGTGAGCGCAAAATGACTTGCACTGATGGTTGCCGCCACGTACGACAACTTTAAAATGTTCTCTGTTGCGTACAAACGTCCTCAGGTTGCTACACTCAATAGTTTACGTATAATTTGCCACCACGTACGACAACTTTAAAATGTTCTCTGTTGCGTACAAACGTCCTCAGGTTGCTACACTCAATAGTTTACGTATAATTTAAGTTGGAAGTTATGTTCCTGGAGGGTGACATACGGCGGGAGAGGGTTAATGAGTGGTTGTTGAGTGGCACATAGCTGCTGTTTAGTGTTTATATACAAAAAAACCGTAAAACTAATCGGACAATGGCAGTGATGTAGTACCTATAAGATGCTGTGGATCAGCGAGTCTTACTGTGGCTGTGTGTATAATACCTCATAATTTCCACCTTGTGCTGAACTACAGGAATTTATTATTGTACAGGAGGACGCCGTGAGGCAGGCTCTAGAAGAGATCGACTCGCTCTTCCAACAGAACGTTGCCGACATGTGAGTCTGTGGGATTTATTCTCTTGGGTTGTTTACTCTTAGAAAAATGTGCAGTATTTTCTAGGCATCAGACATGGGAAGCACCTTCAAATTAATTTATTTATTCGAGTTTATTTTAGTATTTTTACTGTTCGATTCTAAATACTATTTCAGTATTGCATGCTATACGCCAGTATGGTAAATGAAGGCTTTGGTGATAATTCTCAGACTACGAAATTCTCAGACTATGAGTTAAAGAACAAAAATTTTCATGAACAATGTATTAGTAATAATAATGAATGAGGTACATGTTGATTGCAGTAACCACCTGGCGGAGGACGACGCGCTGGTCGCTGGCATCCACCTGCGCCACGCGGCCCTGGAGCGCAACAAGCGCTGCCTTCTCGCTTACTTGTTCGTTCAGTAGCACTTGTACAATTATTAAATGATATAATATGATATATAATAATAATAAGTATTAAAATCACTTGACTGCTTTAATCGCAAGTTTATCAAAAATTTCAATTTGAATTTATTGCTAATTGTTTGTACCTGTGTTTTAGATTTTGAACTGATGATGGAGCTGGTCTCCGAAATGTTTTCTTTTTTAAGAAATGGTGAATTTTCTGGCTATTTTTTTTTGCTTATAAATTTTTGATAATAATATGATATATTATGACACTGATAATAATTTATTATATTTTTATTGTATCTCTCTGACCTGCTTGACCATGTAATAGTCCCACCCATTCATTCGTTCACTCCCCGTCCCTCCCTTAATAAAATGTACAGTAAAATATTACAATAAAATCTACAAAAATTTGGACAATAAAATATTATAATAAAAAGTAAAATAAAATATAACATTGTCACTGTACAATCAAATATTACAATAAAATGTCAAGTAAAATATTTAAAAAAATGTGCAATACTATATTACGATAAAATATAAAAATATAATATTGTCACTGTACAATACAATATTCATCTTTCACTAGAAGTACAGCGGAGCCCAAGTAAAGTTCACTTATAAATTGAATACATTTTTCTGGTAATCAAGAAATCTTATATTAATATGATACCTGGAATCCATTCAGCTAGACGCTTAAAACTATTCATCTTCAGCACAATATTTCTAATATAGGTACTCAATTTACACGTATTCTGTAACCAAAAACATAGATTTTTCTTATTCTCTGTTCATTGTACATGCCTATCGTAAATACCCTCTTGTGATTGATTCTTGATGGATTATGAATAAACCCCAAACAAAAGGTGAAATAACGTNTGTGGCTGTGTGTATAATACCTCATAATTTCCACCTTGTGCTGAACTACAGGAATTTATTGTTGTACAGGAGGACGCCGTGAGGCAGGCCCTAGAAGAGATCGACTCGCTCTTCCAACAGAACGTTGCCGACATGTGAGTCTGTGGGATTTCTGCTCTTGACTTGTTACTCGTAGAAAAATGTGCAGGATTTTTTAGGCATCAGACATGGGAAGCACCTTCATATTAATTTATTTATTCGAGTTTATTTTAGTATTTTTACATCCCTCAGGGGGGACTTCTGATGCGTGTCTGTGCTCGTTAGAAGTCCTATGGGATTTCGCGTTCCTAGGGGGATTGTTCCTGAGCGCCCCACCGCTGAGCTCGCGGTGTCTGACTGCAGATCTCAGTTGTGGGGTTAAGTTATTATGTAGGTAGGATTCCTTACATTTCCCTTCTCTGTCTCTCTCGTGCGGGCGGCCGACGTCCCGTGTAAGCGACCTCTTGTTCGAGTGTCTTCGTTTCTGTTGCTTTTCACCTGTCCCTCCTTGTCACTTCGTCTCTTTGAGATGCTAACGCTGCTTCTTTCGAGCCAGCTTCAGCGGGCTGGACAATTGAGACCTTCCGCCCTTTGTGGGTGATGAATAATTGAGACCTTCCACCTCTATGGTGATGTTCATCTTGACTTTCGGTGCGAGATAGCTAAATAGCTGAAGCGCTAGTAAACATTTGGCCACTAAACTTACTAACTAGTATTTTTACAGTTCGGTTCTAAATGATATTGCAGTATTGCATGCTATATGCCAGTATGGTAAATAAAGGCTTTGGTGAAAATTCTCAGACTATGAGTTAAAGAACAAAATTTTCATGAACAATGTATTAATAATAATAATGAATGAGGAAAATGTTTGTGGCAGTAACCACCTGGCGGAGGACGACGCGCTGGTCGCTGGCATCCACCTGCGCCACGCGGCCCTGGAGCGCAACAAGCGCTGCCTCCTCGCTTACCTGTTCGTTCAGTAGCACTTATACAATTATTAAATGATATTAATATGATTATAATAATAATAAGTATTAAAATCACTTGACTGCTTAAATCGCAAGTTTATCAAAAATTTCAATGTGAATTTATTGCTAATTGTTCGCACCTGTGTTTTCGGTTTTTAACTGATGATGGAGCTGGTCTCCGAAACGTTTTCCTTTTTAAGAAATGGTGAATTTTCTGGCTATTTTTTTTCTTATAAATTTTTGATAATAATATGATATATTATGACACTGATAATAATTTATTATATTTTTATTGTATCTCTCTGACCTGCTTGACCATGTAATTGTTGCAACACTTCGGTAGCACTTGTATAATTATTAAATGATATACACTGATAATATTATATTGTTATTGAATATGTATCACTCTTACTTCCAAACCTAGAAATTTATTTACTTTAAAGCGGCAAAAAATCTGTCATAATTTCACGAGTATCAGTTCAACCATTTCTAAAATTAAATTAGTACTCATAACTTTTTAAATTTAACTTGAAAGTTCTCCCAGAATAAAAATTTATTCACTTCAAAGCGGATAAAAGTCTAATATATTTTCACGAGCATCTGCTCAGCCATTTCTACAATATAATTATTGCAACACTTTGATCGTTTTGAATGATTTCAAATAATACTACTCTGATGTGCTCAGGTACAACAGACTGGAGCGCTTGCGGACGATGAGGTGGCAACTGGGCAGCGTCCTGCCCAGCGACGTGCGAACCAACCTCTGTGAACCCGAGGTACTTGTTACAACCTCTGTGAACCTGAGGTACCTGGGTGAAGAATTATCAGCTACAACATCAGCAATGCCGATTTAAATAGTCACGGTGTGGAAGATTCATGACAGCTATAAAATAACTAAAAAAATGAAAGGCTCAAAGCATTCACTGCAGGTTGTTGTATGGTTCACTCCCGAGTTTATTGGGGTTAACATCAGTACCTCATCATATTAAAGCTTTTTCCATTGTGAAAATTCATCGATGCCTTGAACTTTACTCATGTTAGATTTTGTAAACCAAACATTTTTGTAGTTTACCGTCTCAGCCTCTCGTTACTGAAAATACGATACCCTGAAGATTCTCCAGTAATAATGAGTAACGCTTAAATGATAGGGTAACGCTCCCTCTCCCCGACGTTATTGCTCCCCATAACTCTCCCTCTCTTTGACGCTACTTCTCTCACTAACTCCCCTTCTCCCCAACACTATTTCTCGCCAATTCCCTCTCGCCCCGACACTATTGCTCTCCCCAACACTATTTCTCTCCCTATTCCTTTTTTCCCCGAGGCTATTCCATTATATAACTCCCTCTCCCCGAGGCTATTCCCTTATATAACTCTCCCTCTCCCCGAGGCTATTCATCCCCATAACTCCCCCTCCCCCAATTCTATTATTCCACATAACTACCCCTCCCCCCAGCTGGAGTGGTTCGCGCAGTACAGCTCGACGGTGGCGCGCTACATGCGCTCGCTGGGGGACGGACAAGGCCTGGACCTCACCGTCGACCTCAAGCCTCCCAAGAACCTCTACATCGAGGTGACTACCTAGAGTATATAGGGGGACTAGTTATGTGTTAGGTGTGAGGTCTAACTTCACTAGATAACCTCTACATCGAGGTGACTGCCTAGAGTATATAGGGGGACTAGTTACGTGTTAGGTGTGAGGTCTAACATCACTAGATAACCTCTACATCGAGGTGACTGCCTGGAGTATATGGGAGATGTATGTGTTATGCCTTGTATGTCATGTGTTATGCCTTGCATGTATGTGTTATGCCTTGTATGTCATGTGTTATGCCTTGCATGTATGTGCGAGGTCTTGTATGTCATGTGTGAGGTCTTGTATGTCATGTGCGAGGTCTTGTATGTCATGTGTGAGGTCTTGTATGTCATGTGTGAGGTCTTGTATGTATATATATTGTGTTCTTGTCTGATGCTGCTCGTGTGTGGTCATCACAAGACTATTTTACAACGCATAAATTTGCCTTCACAATTGTAAGACGACTTCGTGCTTTGCAGGTGCGATGTTTACAAGACTACGGCGAGTTCGAGTTGGAGGAAGGTGAAGTTGTGCTGCTCAGCAAAGATTCAACTCACTTCCTGCCTATGGAACACTGCCAGCACCTCATACGGCAAGGGGTGCTGCAACACGTCAAGTAGTGGACATACTGCCAGCAATTCATGACAAGAAGAAACATGCGGAGAAATAACCGTTTTCGAGTGTAACGGTTGGTAGGAAACTATACAGAACGTGGATGTATTAATTCGTTACTCATGTATAGTGTCTAACTTCCAAAGCATTTACGCCCAATGCCAACTTGCTGTTCATGCATGCCTTAGTATCCTTAGTAATCACTTCATAGCTACGTCGCGATAGGCATAACTTCTTTGTACAGGGACCAATATTTTATGCTATGGTAAGAATAATGTAGCCGCAAAATAACATTCTTGTTACCCCTAACCGACATGGTTACGCTAACAAATTCATTCCGTTACATTAATATGATCTGACGTGTTAACTTAACTATCTCAAAGTACAAGTTTGAATTTTGGAGACTAAAATATGTATAAACATTCTATAAAATTTTAGAATTCTATTTTAACGTGTGGTCTCCTTTCTCTTCTACATCGCCGCTTAATATCTATGTAAGGTCTACTTTCCATGTAAGGTCTACTTGATATCAACCGCTTTCAGCATGTCACAAACGTGTACCGTACCGTTTCGTATATGTGCCGCTGTTGAGGAAATAATGTACAGTTTTTTCATCAAAATTTTTAAAGGCTGGTTACAATGTCTCTTAAAATTAAAGTTTCCAATGGGTTTTAGAAGATTACTCGTAAAGATTCCTTTGTTCAACAAAACGGAGGAAAAAAACAAAATCCACTGGTGACAATCGATTAACTTCCTTTCTTGACACGACAAGTTCTTGCTCGCTGCGTCTTCTCGTCACGCTGCGTCACCGCTCGTTAACGTGATGCCGTTGGCGTCGAGCAACTTCTGTAATGTTATTTAGATTAATTTCATTGGCACGAATAAGTAATTGTGGCTAGATATTATGCGCCCTCACTTCAACTTCAGGTCCTGAATATACGTGCTACCTATACAGCCACGTGTATTGCACACTAAACATAATTACTCGAGACAAAACAGGTTAACCGTCCATATACTAATATTTTATCCGTCATCAATATTAATTGATATACCAATAGATATACTATATACACATAAACTATTCGTACCTGAAGATATGGTAACGAGAGTTACCAACATTGGACAAAGCGTTGAATTTTTCCTGTTGCTAAGCTCGTTCTTCATTTGCTTCACTCATTGTCATACTTCTCATTCATCCAGCCATTACCTCATTCATTCACCCACTCCACATTCAGTTTATCAATAACCTCTCATTTATTTACTCCCACCCATTCATTCGTTCACTCCGCCTCCCTCCCTCCATACCCCCCCCTCACCTGCACAAGGCGCGGCAGCGGCGCGTGCGCGGCCAGCGCCTGCAGCTGCTCCTTCAGCGCCTCCTGCGGCGCAGCGTCTAGCAGCTCCTGCCACGTGATATATCATTAGTTCTCTATAAAATAAATACAAATTTTTCATTATTATTGCTTCATTCAAACCCGTAATACGTGTCATTAGTTCTCTATATAAAAATACACATTTTTCATTATTATTGCTTATTATTGCTTCATTCAAACCGGATTTGACGAACTTGGTGATCATATGTTACTATTAAAAAATACGCTTATTAAGGTTTGTTCCATTGCGAGTTGTTTTGGTAGAGTTGGAGAATAAACAAACTGCTTCAAGAATACAGTGGGGGGAAATAAATATTCGTACACTTGAAAAAATCGTATTTTAATGTATGTAAGTACACAAACTTAACAGGAAAAGTGATTTAAATTATGTATAGAGACGCATAGTATTCAAAAATACTATCAAAAGAAATTGAATCTCAATGCAACAAAAAATAAATGCAACATGTTCACTTTTCGGGTGAAAAAAGTATTCGTACAAAACAATAAATCCGCTTTATTTTAATTTAATACTTGGTTGAATACCCTTTATTCAGCTCAACAGACACCAGTCTATTTCTATACGTCTCGACCAATGATTTGCCGATGCTGACTGGTATTTTATACCATTCTTCTTGGCACACCACCTTAAGATTCTCAATGTTTGTTGGGGACCTTTTCTTAATTTGAATCTTNACATGTTGCATTGTTTTTTGTTGCATTGAGATTTAATTTCTTTTGATAGTATTTTTGAATACTATGCGTCTCTATACATAATTTAAATCACTTTTCCTGTTAAGTTTGTGTACTTACATACATTAAAATACGATTTTTCAAGTGTACGAATATTTATTTCCCCCCACTGTATATTACTGGATAGGTTAGTTTATTGGTCATTAGTTTACTTCTGACCAGTGATCAATTATTGGTCAAAGTAAACTCCATCGCACAGCACGAAATCGGGATAAGAAGCAGACAAAAGGGTAAAGTTAAACCACGCAAAAAAAACTAGTATATTCCGAAGAAGGGAAGGAAGTTCCTGCCCTAGTAATGGAAATCAGAACCTGAACCCGAGGAGGGAGTTAAGAACCTGCAGCAGAGGTAGGGAGAACCTGCGCTAGTGAGCAAAATGGTACTTGTGCTAGTGAGGAAGGCGGTACCTGTGCTAGTGAGAAAGACGGTACCTGTGCTAGTGAGAAAGACGGTACCTGTGCTAGTGAGGAAGGCGGTACCTGCACTAGTGAGGAAGGCGGTACCTGCACTAGTGAGGAAGGTGGTACCTGCACTAGTGAGGAAGGCGGTACCTGCACTAGTGACGACCGTACCTGCACTAGTGACGACCGTACGTGCACTAGTGAGGAAGGCGGTACCTGCACATACCTGCACTAGTGACGACCGTACCTGCACTAGTGACCGTACCTGCATGAGGGAGCGGGTGTGAGGGTGGGCGGCGGCGAGGGTGATGGCGAGGGCGTGGAGGTTGAGGGGGGGGAGGAGGGGCACGAGGGCGGGGGTGGAGGGCAGCGTGACGGGGCACAGCGACAGCAGCGACGCCGCGTCAACACAGCGACGCATGCCCGCCTCCGACACCGGGGCTGTCACTGTACAATACAATGTACAATGAAATATTGTCACTGTACAATACAATGTTACGATATAATGTTCAATACAATGTACAATGAAATGTTACGATACAATGTACACTACAATCTTACAATGAAATATAGCATTGTCACAGTACAATACAATCATACAATACAATGTTACGATAATTTGGACAATATATCAAATATAGGTAATATTGTCACTATAAACTGTCATCCAAAAACAGATAGAAGTTTCTTATTTAAACCCGGACTTTAAATCATTGCGTTGCAGCAATGGTCACGCACGCACGGGAAGGCCCCTAACCTTAAATTTTGCAACGGTCTTTTTCCTTGACTCTGTTCATTGTACATGCCTATTGTAAATACCCTCTTGCGATTGATTCTTGATGGATTATGAATAAACCCCAAACAAAAGGTGAAATAACGTGGATCAGGATGGTTTTAGGGGAAATGGAGACCACTTTAGACCCTTATTTTTCTGAACGTCATCGTAACATACGCACTCTCAGGCAAACTGCGTCGCTTATAAGTCTACTAAAATTGTTCCTTTATTCCCTCTAAAATGGTAGCATGGGGCCATTAGTTAATTAGATGAATTAGGTGTAGAATTAGATTAGATCAATTAGTTTCGTAGCAGCTTCCCTTGCACTTTTAAGTCTACTAAAATTGTTCCCTTATTCCCTCTAAAATGGTAGCATGGGGTCTACTAAAATTGTTCCCTTATTCCCTCTAAAATGGTAGCATGGGGTCTACTAAAATTGTTCCCTCATTCCCTCTAAAATGGTAGCATGGGGTCTACTAAAATTGTTCCCTCATTCCTGTCTCTTATACACATCTAGATGTGTATAAGAGACAGCTGCAAACTACCAGAGCATCCTGGAAAATAATTTGACGACTTCTGTTGAGAAACTAGAGCTACCTGGTGATTGGATTTTCCAGCAGGATAACGATCCTAAGCCTGTCTCTTATACACATCTGAAATGGTTCGCTGATAGAAATGTACACGTTATGGAATGGCCAAGCCCTNATTCCATCTAAAATGGTAGCATGGGGTCTACTAAAATTGTTCCCTTATTCCATCTAAAATGGTAGCATGGGGTCTACTAAAATTGTTCCCTTATTCCATCTAAAATGGTAGCATGGGGTCTACTAAAATTGTTCCCTTATTCCATCTAAAATGGTAGCATGGGGTCTACTAAAATTGTTCCCTTATTCCATCTAAAATGGTAGCATGGGGTCTACTAAAATTGTTCCCTTATTCCCTCTGAGAAGGTAGCATGGGGGCCATTAGCAGAGGTAGGCAGTAGCGCTCTACATGTAGCGGCCGCTGCATTTTCAGTAGCGGTAGCGGTGCTACATTTAGAGCATGTAGCGGTAGCGGTAGCGGCCGCTACATTTCAAAGTAGCGCTGCCCAGCTCTGGCCATTAGTTAATTAGATGAATTAGTTGATGGAATTCATGGGTAAAAGTAAGTAGTAAACTGACGCGTCTTGAAGGGGCGCGACACGATGGCCGTCCAGGCAGCTGTAAAGCCCTGCACCAGCCACAGCTGCGGGTGCAGACGCAGGCGCAGCAGCAGGGACCGCACAGCTGCCTCCTCCACAGCACCGGCGTCCAGGCAGGCGGCGAGCTGCAGCAGCACAGCATTCCATAGCGAGGCCTTCAGCTCCTGCAAAATACGAGAAATTTAGGCCTTCAGCACTTGCAAATTAGGCGAAATTTAGGCCTTCAGCACTTGCAAATTAGACGAAATTTAGGCCTTCAGCACATGCAAATTAGACGAAATTTAGGCCTTCAGCACATGCAAATTACGCGAAATTAAGGCCTTCAGCAGCTGTAAATTACGCGAAATTTTTACGCTGTAATCAGCATCTGCGGATGGCATATGCCTTAATTCTTAAGACAAGATTGGAAACATGAAACTGGTTTTTCTTGGACGAATTCGTACCTGACAATTATAGAACCCACCTTAAACCGCTGACACACGTCAGCAACACACCCCACACGTCAGCAACACACCTCACACGTCAGCTACACACCTCACACGTCAGCTACACACCACACACGTCAGCTACACACCTTGTACCGCAGACACACGTCAGCCATGAGCAGGAGAGCAGCAGGCGAGTGTCTGTGGTCCCGCCACAGCTGTTCAGTGAGCGCCTGCACGTCTTGCGGCCCCAGCTCAGCACCACAGACGATGCCCAGACCCTCCAGACGAACCGCCTGCGTCAGCTCGTCCAAGTGTCGCCTGCGTGTACAAACAAATTAATGTATCCTATCATTATACCTTTATTAATTATACCGTTATTAATTATATCTTTATTAATTATAACTTTATTAATTATACCTTTATTAATTATACCTTTATTAATTATACCTTCATTAATTTTAACTTTATTAATTTTACCTTTATTAAATATACTTTTATTAATTATAACTTTATTAATTATACCTTCATTAATTATACCTTCATTGATTATACCTTCATTAATTATACCTTTATTAATTACACCTTCATTAATTATAACTTTATTATTAATACCTTTATTAATTATACCTTTATTACATGATTGCATTACTGCTTATGACTTACCAAAATACTGGCGTGAAGAACAATTATTTAAATACTGGTAACCCTGACAATATTTCAGTGTACAGGAGAGCAACTGCCACCACAAAGTCACTCAAGTGTCAGTGTAACGGAGAAGCAGGAGGGTAGTAAGTAACACTACTGCTACTGACTGCAGGACAGTAACACTACTGCTACTGACTGCAGGACCTGTCTCTTATACACATCTAGATGTGTATAAGAGACAGAACAAAAGGTGAAATAACGTGGATCAGGATGGTTTTAGGGGAAATGGAGACCACTTTAGACCCTTATTTTTCTGAACGTCATCGTAACANACTGACTGCAGGACAGTAACACTACTGCTACTGACTGCAGAGTGTCGGGGGCGACGTAGGAGTGCAGTTGAGGGCAGTCAGTGAGGGCGACGAGACACTGCAGAGCTCTCAGTCTGTACGCTGCTGAGTACCGCTGCTCAGTGCACTCAGTCTGCTCCAGTAGGTACGGGATGATGGTATCAGGGCAGCAGCCGCGTACCAGGTACATGGCCCTGTAGGGGTACACATGATGTTAATTGTTATGCTATTAGTTTAATGAGATATCTCAATGATAAGACTAAAAGATAACCATTAATTTCAGACGCGTGTAATGATATGTTTCAATGATAAGCCTGAGATAACAATTATTAACAGACGCAGGTAATGAGATCATTAATAACAGACGCATGAAATGAGATGTTTCAATGATAAGTCTAAGAGATAACCATTAATAACAGATGCATGTAATGACATATCTCAATGATAAGCCTAAAAGATAACCATTAATAACAGATGCATGTAATGAGATGTTTCAATGATAAGCCTAAAAGATAACCATTAATTGCAAACGCATGTAATGATATCTCAATGATAAGACTAAAAGATAACCATTATTTTCAGATGCATGTAATGAGATGTTTCGATGATAAGATTAAAAGATAATTCCCAGTTAACAATTAGGAATCTAAATCAGTAGACTGAGTTATGCATATGTCTTGTTGCAAAGCAGGCTTCTTGAGAATATAATTCCTCTATGAACAAATTGGTGATATTCATCGGTAATTATAATGTAAATATTCGATTACTAATATTCCACATCTAGCTGGTAGGAGATATTCCTCACTAAATTATAATACAACTATTAGATTAGGTATATTCCTTAATTCTGCAATATTACCAACCGATATTACCTGGCGATATTATAACCTAGCAATATTCCTTAGTTTTACCTAGCAATATTACCTAGCAATATTCCTTAGTTTTACCTAGCAATATTACCTAGCAATATTCCTTAGTTTTACCTAGCAATATTACCTAGCAATATTCCTTAGTATTACCTAGCAAGCGACGCGTCATCAGACTCGTGGGCCTGAGCGCCCGGCATGAGCGGCAGGAAGTTGGTGATGGTGACGTCATCACCGCAGCTGCCCAGGCCTGCGTCAGGAGGCAGCAGCCATTTGTCCAGCAGCTTCTTCTGCAGCAAACTCTGCAGGCAGGAAGAGAACCTTGAGAGAGAACACTGCGTCAGGAGGCAGCAGCCATTTGTCCAGCAGCTTCTTCTGCAGCAAACTCTGCAGGCAGGAAGAGAACCTTGAGAGAGAACACTGCGTCAGGAGGAAGCAGCCATTTGTCCAGCAGCTTCTTCTGCAGCAAACTCTGCAGGCAGGAAGACAACCTTGTTCTCAAGATCTGGTTCTCAACCTGATCTTGACTTTGTTCTCACACACGCTAAAAAGAGGCGCAAAAATTATCATAAACTATGTCAAGATCACCATAAACTAACCACCATATGATCATAGTTTATGGTGATCAATGTGATCACCATAAACTACGTATACTTCGGAGAAAACACGAAACTTAGAGTTTCGTGAAATAAATCATAGTTTTCATAAGGCCCTCCTTTGTTCAGAAGAAATCAGGCCACATAACTTGTGATTCTTGACAATATTTAGCAGATAAAAATCGCCGTGGAGAGAAACTAGCACAACTAAAACATATAACTTTGTGGGATAAGCAAAAGACCAGAGTCATAAACCTGTCATCACACTCACCAGCTTGGCACCCACTGCATCACACAGCTCACCTGCTTGGCACCCACTGCATCACACAGCTCACCTGCTTGGCACCCACTGCATCACACAGCTCACCTGCTTGGCACCCACTGCATCACACAGCTCACCTGCTTGGCACCCACTGCATCACACAGCTCACCTGCTTGGCACCCACTGCATNCTGTCTCTTATACACATCTAGATGTGTATAAGAGACAGGCGCTAGTGAGTGCCTGCAAGAGGATTTTTATCATAGGTAGTTGCAACTATGCACATAACAGTTGTATTATAATAGTTGTATTAACACGTTGACTCCGAAGGGGTACATATGCGTACCACGAAATGTATGTCTCTAGGACGAAGTGGTGCATAATTCAGGTTGCCTAAAATCGGCCAAATCCGAGAACAAAAAAGGCCAAAAAAGGCCAATAATCCAATATATACTAGTTTATTTCTAGGTTTCGCTATAAAAATTTCATTATTTTTTTCCAGTACTTGAAATTTAATTAGGAAGTACCCTATCATAAATTTTAGCCAGCCAACGCAATTAAGAAAACTAAACCATGGAATTTGTCCGGAAAAAATGACCGTCTGTCACCCCTGTTTAAAAACAGTACAAAAAATGAAATAATAGTACAAGATGAAGCAATCGTAGTCAACGTGTTAATGTATAGTATACCCTTATGTGTATATAAGTATAGTAATACCCTTATGTGCACATAAGGGTATTGTGTTACTAGTATAGTAGGACACCGGCTACAAGAGGATTATAAAAGAAATTACTTGTACTAACACTAACCTGTGCAGCGCTCGTTTAGGCAATTACTTGTACAAACACCAAGCTTTGCAACGCTTGTTTATGCAAGTAACTGTACAAAGACCCACCGATGCAGCGCTTGTTTATGCAAGTAACTGTACAAAGACCCACCGGTGCAGCGCCTGTTTGTGCAAGTAACTGTACAAAGGCCCACCGGTGCAGCGCCTGTTTGTGCAAGTAACTGTACAAAGGCCCACCGGTGCAGCGCTTGTTTGTGCAAGTAACTGTACAAAGGCCCACCGGTGGAGCGCTTGTTTGTGCAAGTAACTGTACAAAGACCCACCGGTGGAGCGCTTGTTCAGCACAAAGGCGCTGGTACTCGCTGGTGAACTTGGCGACAGCGTCGCGCGCTTCTGTGGTATCGCTGTGGTCCCTCCAGCGGCGCGCCATGAGCAGGCAGCTGTGCGTACACAGCACGCGGTCCGCGCCATGTGGCAACATCTTGACCACGCTCTGGCCACATGCCATGGCTAGCTTGTCGTGTTGTATCCTAGAGATGACCACACTAACATCCTTCAGGAGGTCTGAGTGGCATGACGTTAATTGCCACGGTTCGTTAGACTCGTATTGCTTCTTTACAAGGGCGCGCGACACGGTGTTTTTGACTGCTACGAAGCACATCTGGTCTTGGTTGAGTTTAAGTGAGTCGGAACATCGCAGCCATGAGTCGATAGTGAGTACGTCTAATTCACCGTCAATAATTTTCATGACAAGCTTAGCACTGCCTTCAAAGAGCTCGGTAAATGGCAGTCGTTTAGACGCAATCGTTGGGAAGGATTTAGAATTCGGGTTCTTAGAGTTCCATTCATCTAGTTCTTCACTTGGAGGTTTAGACTTGCGCTCATAGGTTCTGAGGAACTGTAGGATCTCGAGACCTCTATGCCAGTCCTGCTCAGAACTCTCTTTTTGGTCCAGCACAGCGAGTTGTTTTAACAAGAACTGTATAGCGTCGTAGTGGTAGCTGTTCACGCTACTCAGCTCCTTGACGAAGGCTTCCCTTAACAAGACTTTATCTTCGACGCCGGCCGTGACCTGAGAGATCTGCTCTGCTGGCCACCCACTCGAGGTGATGGTCAGGTCGTCCTCGGGCGCAGGCAGGCCTCTACTGACCAAACTTCTGATGAAACACAACATGGCTTCCGTGTAGGACAGGTTAAAGTCGGTACAGAGATCTTTTAGGAGTGAGCACGAACAATTTGGGTGTTCCACGATGACATTGAAAATATTCTGAAATATTGCGACGTGTTTGCCGAAATAATCTGCGAATGAGATGTTCATTTCTGCAAAACGCTCACCCCAACGCGCGTTTTTGTGCATATCTTCGAACCTGGCCCTCATTTCTACCTGACTGTAAATTTCACACAGACTCTTCCCGATCTCAGCAACCATTTCCAGTCGAGGGTAATCAAAGCCGAGACGTTTAATGAGCTCATTAAGGATAGACAAAGATTCTTTGAGTGAAAGCAACGTCAGGAGGCTAACCCCAAGTTGAATGTCAGTGTTTTTAGGCTGGACCAACTTGAGGAGAAGCGAGAAGATGAGGCTGGCATCGACAATCTGACGAACTTGCGGTAAATTGTTCGTAACATTACCGTCATTAGTGGGCACTTGTGACTCAACGTTGTCAACAATAGAGTTTAATTTGAGCAGCGAGAAGAGTTTGGTGTTGAGGAAGAGAGCAGTGAGGTTATTGTTTCTCTGCAGAGCGTGTGACGTGACCTCGGATATTGTCTTTAGGAGCGGCGCGAGATCAGAGGGAGCAGAGAGCGAGGACGGAGCGTAGGTCCTGTTGCTGTAGGAGGCGAGGCAGAAGTTAACTGCACTCATCACAGCGAGGGCAACCTGCACGGGTATGGCGAGACTTACAGTGACTGAATGTGGAGGTGAGACTTAAAGTGACTGAATGTGGAGATGAGACTTATAGAGACTGAATGTGTGGTGAGACTTATAGTGACTAAATGTGGAGGATATGGTGAGACTTATTGTGACTGAATGTGGAAGTGAGACTTATAGAGACTGAATGTGTGGTGAGACTTATAGTGACTGAATGTGGAGGATGTGGTGAGACTTATAGTGACTGAATAGAGGAAGACATGGTGAGACTTATTGTGACTGAATAGAGGAAGACATGGTGAGACTTATAGTGACTGAATATAAAGAAAGACATGGTGAGACTTATAGTGACTGAATGGAGGGAGACATGGTGAGACTTATAGTGACTGAATATGGAGGAAGACATGGTGAGACTTATTGGGACTGAATAGAGGGAAACATGGTGAGACTTATAGTGACTGAATATGGAGGAAGACATGGTGAGACTTATAGTGACTGAATGTGGAGGTGAATCTCATACTGACTGAACGGAGGAAGACATGGTGAGAGTTATAGTGACGACTGAATAGAGGGAGACATGGTGAGACTTATAGTGACTGAATGTGGAGGAAGACATGTTAAAACAATGACAGCACACATATACATATACAATTTTTTACACGCTCATGTACGTGTGATGTTTTTCCGTACTTTGTGCGCCACTGAG